GTGCTGGGGCTTGAACTCAGGGCCTAAGCACTATCCTTTAACTTTTTCTGTTCAAGGCTGGTGCTCTACCACGTAAGCTACAGCTCCACTTGCGGCTTGTTGGTAGTTAATTAGAAATAAGAGTCTCATAGACTTTCCTGCCTGGCCTGGCTTTGGACCACAACCCTCTTGAGTAGCTGGGATTATAGGTGTGAGACTCCAGTGCCCGGTTCCTGTGGAACTCATGGGAAGTCTGTACAGCCTCCAGCGTGAGGACACAGAGGCTGAGACCAAACAGAAGCCTGGCTTCTTGGTCTATTTGCCAGGCTCTCCTCTGGATAGACTGGCTTAGAGATGGCATGTGTGCCCCATTAGGCCAATGGGACCCAAGGCCAGGACACAGGCTGGGACCTCCACTCCTGCCCTCAGGGAAAAGAGGTTTTGTCCAGGGCGACTGAACTCCGGGCCGCCGGCATGCTGCATGGCCGGGCAGCCCTGGTTATCTGGAGGAGGAGAGCCGGCCTGGAGTGCAGCCAGCACAGAGGAAGCCCATAAGTGAGCTGGAAAGAGCCCGAGTCATGATGATGTTGCTCCAGCCCCCTAGATCAGACTGGGCCTGAAGCAAGACCTGAAGACTTCCCATTTTCCTCAGCTAGTAAATTTCCCATTTTGCAAAAGCCACTTTCAGTTGGGTTTTCTCATAGGAAGGCGTTGAGGTGGACAGAAGAGGTCAAGCAACTTGACCCAAGCCTGTGAGGTGGGGGACAGTAGGGCCAGGCCTTAGAAGCTCTGCGCTCCGCACCTCACTGCCCCTCCCTCCAGACCAGCCTCCTGGGTCGACCCTCTCCCACATCCTCTGCCTTGTCTGTGAAAGGGGTTCCCGCCTCTGGCAGGGCTGTTGGAGAAAACCCTGGAATTTAGTTGGGGTCCCCGTGTTTCTGGCTTCTAGTGATTTGGCCTGACTCTGTCTATTGGCTTGTTCATCTTCAGGGGTGTCTTTTGCTCCCCTAGATTGGCCAACCAGTCCAGGCAGCCTGCCTCTGCCAGGAGAGCATGTCTCCATCTCATCGAGAAGCTCCCCTCGCCTTCCCCCCCATCCCCTCTCCCACTCCCTGGCCTGGCTGTGTCCTTGGTGCTGGCAGGAGAGCTCTGAGGACCTTCCAGCTCAGTCTACTTGCAAGTTGCAAAGAAGCAACCTCTAGAACCTTCCAAAGATTGGAGGTACTCTGGGAATGACCCAAAGCTCATGGAAGACAGAATGGCACCAAAGTAACTTCTCTCGCTCTTTCTCCTGTGAAGTTTACATTTAGTAGTGGTGACTCATAAACAACTTATACAACTATATAACACCCCTGTTCATCACCTTTACAATAAAGATATAAAAAAAACTCATCAACAAATATAAAACTAGATACCTAGAAAGAAAATCATCAAAAGACTGGTGAACTGGGGGAAGGTGGAGCTCAACTCAGGAGGCTGAGATCTGAGGATCACAGTTTCAAGACTCCCATCTCCAATTAATCACCAAAAAGCAGTAAGTGGAGCTGTGGTTCAAATGGCAGAGCGCCAACCTAAGTGAAAAAACTAAGAGACAGGGCTGGGATGTGGCTCAGTGGTAGAGCGCTCGCCTAGCATGTATGAAGCTCTGGGTTTGATTCCTCAGTACCACATAAGGAGAAAAAGTCAGAAGTGGTGCTGTGGCTCAAGTGGTAGAGTGCTAGCCTTAAGCAAAAGAAGCTCAGGGACAGTGCCAAGGTCCTGAGTTCAAGCCCCAGGATTGGCAAAACAACAACAACAACAACAAAAAAAAACCAAAAAGCCAAAAAAAAAAAACCAAAACAACTAAGGGACAATGTCTAGGCCCTGAGTTCAACCCCAATACTAGCAGAAACAAAACAAAAGGAAAAGGGACAGGGTGATGGCCAGAGGGGAGGGCTGGCGGGGCCCCTGGGCCACAGTTTGGGCTCTCCGGATCCAAGACCTGGGCACTGTGTACTTCCCAGGACCGTATGGTACCAAGGAGCCAACTACCAAGACCAGAGCCCACTGCATCTAGACGCTTGCTGGCAGTGCCTGACAGGGCACTGATGCCCAGGAGACCAGACAACAGCTGTGGGCCACAGACAACTCTGAGGACATTAAAAAAATTTAACTAGTTATAGATTTGTCATTGATCTTCACAACTAGCTAAACCCCTGAGAGAAAGGCTGAGAAGTCTTTCAAGACCATTTTTTCAGGCTTGCCCCCTCGGCAAAGCTTCCAGCCCCATGCAACAGTCATCACCCTCAACCAGCCGTCAGGATTTCCAGGCGCGGCCTTGCCGCCAAGGGCACCCCCAGGGCGAGGCTGGCTCTGGCCAGCAGGGCAGGCAACCTGGGGGGTCAAGTAGGAAAGCCAAGTCTTAGCGCCACATCCTTCCTCCCAACCAAATGTCAGGTGTGTGGGATGGGAGCAAGTCACCAACAAAACACCCTTCTAGAACACGAGGCAGGACAGGCACAGAAAATAACAGAGAAGCCAGGCCTTCGTGGCGCATGCCTGCATCCTAGCTTCTCAGGAGGCCGAGATATGAAGATCTCTGTCCAAAGCCAGTCCAGGCTGAAAAGTCTATGACACGCTTTTCTCCAATTTACCACCAAAGAGCTGGAAGTGGTGGAGTGCCAGCCTTGGGATAGGGAGAAGCCAAGCAAGAAAGCAAAGCCCCGAGTTCAAGCTCTAGTACTAGCACTATGTGTGAGTATGTGTGTGTATGTATCTAATGCACAGGTATACACATCCATGCATGTGTACATAGAGTTCAGTGCTATGATACAAGTGGCAAGGGCTGTGGGAGAGAAAGAGCTAGAGCTGTTTTACATGGAACCTGCCTGGGGAGGTGACACCTGGCCTGAGACAGGAGAGGCAAGGAGATCTTCTGGTAGAGTGAATCACTGGAGGGGGGGTGGGGACCAGCTGGTGCAAAGGTCCTGAGGTGGAAAATGGAGAAGTGTAGGTGAAGGACACAGTTTGTGTAAGCTAGGCAGCGGGAGCAGGTAGGGGTGGGTCAAGTGGGTTTGGGAGTTGGGATTAGGAATTCAGTTTTATTCTAGGAAGGTGGGGATGGTCTTGGAGGTTTTCTCCAGGACAGGGCAAAAACATTCTATATGCTGAGTACAGGTGTATGGGCACCTGAGATTAGGTATTTTATTCAGGATTAATATTTTAATGATGTTTTGGAAGTGGGAGTCCTAGCCTAGGCCAGAGGCCCCACTCAAGGACTTCCAACATATCAGGCCTCGCCAGTGGCCCACCAGGAGTGGTGAGGGGCAGAGAGAGGAGGGAAGATGGAGAGACCATCCATCGAAGCCTATCTCTGGTACTGACATGAGCTTTAGGTGTAAATACAGGGAGGGGAAGGGAAGTGGCACAATTGAGCAATCCTGGTAAAGCGAGGCCTGCTTGACTGGATCTCAGTGCTGGCTCTTTCAGGGGTTTCCCAGGTTCTTCTCTTGCTTGTGAGAAGCAATCTGGTTCCCTGGGATGACTTTTGCTGCAGGCGTAGCCTTGTAATTACAGGAAATTGTCCCTCCTTGGAGAGCCGTCTGTCCCCAGGGCTCTGCTATTCCTTACAGGTGGCTGAAGTTGCTCATTGTGGTCCTGTCCGTCTTGGACCTCAGGGCAATTGCAGGAAAGAGACTCAGGGCAAAGGAGACAGGTGCAAAATGCAAGTGCAGATGTCAAGCTTTCTTCCCGCTCTCAGAGTTTTCTAGCAAAGAAGGAGCTTTCACTCAGGGCCTGGGTGCTGTCTCTTAGCTCTCTACCACTTGAGCCACAGCTCTGCTTCAGGCTTTTTGGTGGTTCATTGGAGATAAGAGTCTTTGCCCAGGCTGGCTTTGAGCTTTGATCCTCAGATCTTAGCCTTCAGGGTAGCTAGGGTTACAAGCATGAGCCACAGCATCAGGCATAAATTAAGGCTGGAGTCACCCAAGATCTTCCCCACAAGAGGCCACATCTGATCATTCCCCCATGCAACATTTGCCTGTCAAACCAATTGTACTTATTCAGTAAGATCTCAGGTCCTCGGCCTCTGGTTGAGGGCACTAAGGTGTGGGTGAGCTCATGTTCTCCTCAGCGGGGCACGATTATCATCTCCTCCTACTAAGGAGAAAACAGAGACAGCGCGACCAGCCGTCGCCTGCCCAGGTCCTCTCGAGGCACTCACTGGACGCCTGGAGTCTGGTCCCGGACGGCGTGGTTGGAAGGAAGCTCTCTGAGGTCGCCAGCTTCCAGTCCTCTCCGCGGGGCCACGCCGGAGGAGAGGGCTGGCCTTCGCGGGCATGGGGGGGGGGGGGTCGCGGCCAGGGGGGAAGGGGGCGCAGGCCTGGGCTGCGGGGCGCGCTCGGCCGTGGTCTGCACGGAACTCGGGGACGGAGCAGGGCAGTCTCACCTTCCTCCCCACGGGAGCTGCAAGATCACCGGAAGTGCAGTTGGCTGGGGATGCCGGTGGGGAGCAGATGGACGCCGGGCCGCCGGGGCCTTCGGAGGTGTCCAGACCGCCTCACCCCGCGCATCCCCAGGTGACTGTGACACGGCACCCCGGTGCCCGGGAAACTCTCCCGACCTGCGGGACGGCGTGGGCCTGCTGCCCAGCCGGAGCCCGGCGCGGGGCCTCGGCGCTGCCTGCCCAGTCCTCTCATTCGCCCCGACTCAACTTCTCCGGTCCGGGTTGAACTCTGCGGCGCGCGGCGCGAGCGCGCCCCGGCGCGGAGGGTGGGCACTCGGGGTCGCCTAGGCAACAGCGCGCGCCACGCCCGCGCGCGGGTTCCCGCCCCCCCTCCCTTAGGGGGCCGAGGAACGCGCGCGCAGCCAGACGTCTCGCGGGGCCGAGACCGTTTCCCTTCAGCCCCACCCCCGGCTCCGCCCCGCGGAAGTGCTTCTTAAGATCCTCGAGCGCTGATTGGCTCTCCCGTATCTGGGGCGGGGCCTGCGGCGGGCGGGGTGCGCACTTCCGGCTGCCGGGTTGACATGAAGAAGCGGCGGCGGCGCCGGCGGCTGCGGCGAGGGCGGCGGTAGCGGCGGGAGTTGAGGCTGACGGTGGGCCTCGGGGCTCGGGAGCGCGACGCGGCCTAGAGCGGCCGACAGCGGGTAGGGTCGAGGAGGAGCGCAGTTGCCGCACTGGTCCGCCATGGAGATGGAGAAGGAGTTCGAGCAGATCGACAAGGCCGGGAGCTGGGCGGCCATTTACCAGGTACGGAGCGCCGGGCCGCGCGGGCCCTCGCCTAGGCCGCTGCCTCCTTCCTGCTCCTCAGGCCCGGCCCGTTCTCCCTCGGGTCGCGCCCTCCGCCTCGGCGCTCCGGCGGGGGACTCGAGCCCTCCGCGGCGCCGGCCGCCGCCGTCTTTGTCCCCCGCCGGGGCCCCGCACCTCTTTGAGCACCCGCTCCCCTCCGCATCGCCTCCGGGGCCCGCATCCCTTTGCGCCCCACTTCCCGGTGCCATCCGACCCCGGGCCCCGCACCCCTTTGCGCCCCACTTCCCGGTGTCTTCCGACCCCGAGCCCCGCACCTCTTAGATGAGTCCCCAGGGCGCCCTCTGGGCCCCGCACCCCCTGGGTCCCGCTCCCCAGTGCCCTCCGGACCCCGCACCCCCTCAGCCCCACATCCCGGTACCCTCCAGCCTCGGTGACCTCTGCAGCCCGGAGGAGTCCCAGCTCCCGGCCCCGCCCCCTGCCGTCCACCCTTTGTCCCCCAGGTTGATTGAACGCCCCCACGACTTCCTTTTCTGGACAGGACCACCCCAGACTCTCTTCCTTTGTCTCCCGGGGGAAAGGCTCCCCCCACCGCCATCACGTTTCCTCTCCCCCGGCTCGGTGTGCGTCGAGGCCCCAGGATGACAGTCCCCTTCCCCCTTCCTGTTCATTCATTTATTGGTTTGAGCTGGTCAGCGATTCCGTGCTTAGGCGCTGGAGGTGGCCTTCGTTGAAGGAGGCAAGCGGGACCCCCTCTCCCGCAGAGCTTGGGACAGAATAGGACTGACACAGACGCACATAATTCGGGGTGGGAGAAGGTGCGGTAAACAGAATAGCATCCTAGAAGGTGGAGGGTGACAGCCTCCTCCCCCTACGGCGCCACCCCTCTGCTGTGTGAAGGGAGGGAGGGCGAGCCTCGGGCCGGAGTGACAGGCTAGCTAGCCTTCCAGCCAGGGGCCTGCAGCACTCACCCCTCTTGGTCCACCTGCTCCTGTTTCAGGCCAGGTGCAGGGAACCTTCACGGCTAATCTTCTCTGAATTGGGCATCTTCTACCAGCGCTGAGATTGATCTTGTCTCATCAAGGGGTGGGTTGTGGTACGAATAAATAGCTAGGAAGGTAGAATTTTTCACTTGTTTAAAACATCAGATTAAGAACACCAAGAGGTCTTCCACAAGCTTCTAAAGAAAATGTGTGCTCCTGATTAAATGTCATTGCGGGGGTGTGAGGATTAGCCAAAACCACACTTGTTTGGTATCTTCAACAAGCCCTGTAAAAATAGGTTTTGCTACATGTGTCAAGGAAGAGGACAGTTTATTCTGTTTCCAGCTTTTAGACTCCAAAGGAAAACTATGAGATCCATTTGCTTTAGTATTGAAATCTATTTTGAAATTTTTTTCAAGGGGAAAAAATAGTTTATGCAGTTTTTTGGTGTGCTGGCCTAACAAAAGCCTTTTCTTGGCGGCCTTGATTTCAAGTCTCTTTGTCAGGATTCTTTCCACTTGGCTGTTGGGTAGATAAGCTTCTGACAGACTCATCCGTATAAGCGTGACGAATGCCGCTGTAATGTTCGTATTCCATGACCAGCATCAAATGAAGTCCACCAGTGACTGGAAATAAAGGAACACATTTTCTGTATCCAGTAGCAAACAATATGATAGAACACAGAGCATCTTTACATGAAATTAGCCGATCACAATAAGTTTATGACACAGAGAAGGTTTGTTTGATTGGAGTTTCTTAGAGCTTCTGGTCAGAGTGGTCTGACCTGACACTCAACCGTAACTGTTCAGAATGCTAGTGGCCTGGGCCAGGTTGAACTTTAATTAATTTTCCTGATTATCCTTTAATCTCTCCATTTAAACATCAAGATGTTAAGATTTCTCCAGCTGCGGGGCTGGGAAGGTGGCTCAGTGGTAGAGCGCTTGCCTTGCATGCCTGAGGCCCTGGGTTCGATTCCTCAGCACCACATAAGCATAAAGAAAAAAGCCAGAAGTGGCGCTGTGGCTCAAGTGGTAGAGCACTACCCTTGAGTTGAAGAGCTGAGAGACAGCACCCAGGCCCAGAGTTCAGGCCCCACGACCGGACCCAAAAAAAAAAAAAAAAGATTTCTCCACCTGCTTAATGGACTGCTACTTTCCTTGAAGTGGTTTCTTTCTTTCTTTCTTTCTTTCTTTTTTTTTTTTTTGTTGGTTGTGGGGCTTGGACTCTGGGCCTGGGTGATGTCCCTGAGCTCTTCAGCTCAAGGTGAGCACTCTGCCGCTTGAGCCACAGGGCTACTTTCGGGTTTTTTTTTGTGGTTTATTAAAGATAAGAGTCTCGTGGACTTTCATGCCCGGGGCTAGCTTTGAACTGTGATCCTCAGATCAGTAGCTAGGGTCACAGGTGGGAGCCATGTCTGGCTTACTCTTCTCTTTTCTAAACTTAAAACTGGCTTTTTAATCTTACCATTGTGCCATTTAAACAACTTAAAATGACCCTGAGTGAGCTGAAGTTAGCTACTTTTCCACTGTGTGTGTAATTTACCAAAACTCATTATTTGTTTTTCAAGAATTAAAAGAAATGTGTTTACTACTGGCAGAAAATGGAAGTTTAGCAAGTTAATATAGCACATCGAAATGGGGACAGATTTAGACAAAGTCATTTTGTCTGCTGCAAATACAATACTACACATCATCTGTGCCGTGTAATCATTTCTCGTTCTGACTTCTCTAATTAGAACAAAAGGTGCACAGACTTGGAACAAATGGGAAAAGAACAAAGGGCCAAGTGGACATTTTGAGGGCTGACAACTGGCAGCTTAGAAAACAAATGTTTCAGGCAAAGATCTTTCCTGGCTGGGTTTGATAAAGTGAGTGTGGCCATGCTTTTAATCTGTAAAGCTTCTAAGTAGGGTTGGTCTAATACACAGCCGGCTCTATAAAAAGCCAGCTTTGTCAGCATATGTGGACAGCTTTCAAATCGTTTTTAGTATGTAAGTGATGTAAGATTGTCTGGTTTGAGGTCAGTGAGCCTCATGTTGAAGTTGGCCTTGTGTCCTAAGAGAGCCTGTAGAGGAAAAGGGCTGGTGAGCAAGAGGCAGGTGCCCAGAGAGGTGCAAGTGAGCACCGATGGCCTGAGCTGCCGGGGGCTATTGCCTCACAGGTGCGCTGCCTTCTGTCTCTAGATTCTTTGTTTTGTTTGGCTTTTTGTTGTTGGTTTTTTTTGTTGTTGTTGGTTTTTTTTGTCACAGGCCACCTTTTTCAATGTGAATGACTTGACTGTCTATCAGAGTGAAGGAGATACCCCCAGTAGCTGAGACTGGGAGGCAAGGTTTAGTCCAGGTTACAGGCAGGCTTTGTAAAATGGGCCATGCTTCCGGCTGGCATTTGCTTTTATAGCTAGCTTCATTGTGAAATGCAGTCTAGTGTCTGACTGGGTTTAAAACCATCTTGCAGCGTAGTTACAATGCACTAAAATTTCCTGCTGCTATATAGACTACATTCCAAGAAGACAAATAGTAAAAGCTTCCAATAATGTTTATTTAAACACCAGTGTCTTTGGAGGAAAAAAAAAAACCCTGGATTTTATGCAGAGGAGAAAGATCTATATATTATGACTCACTTCAATTAAAAACAACAACAACAAAAAGACAAGCGGAAATGCCATGGAGATTGGGGCGTTCTAGTCATCGTGTGTGACCCTGTAGCCTACCATGCTCTAGTTCAGCCCTGCTTCTTTGTGTGAACTAATTTTAGGTGTCTGGTCGCCACTTGGGAAATGGTGTAAGACCTCTGTGATTGTCTGGGAGCACAAGTTGAATCTGTGCAAGGAAGAACTCTGCTGCGTATGTATGTGCTTTGGGAGGAAGTGAATCCTGTCAGGTGGTGCTGAAGTTAGCGGGGAGTAATGGAAAATGGGTAAATGATCCCATTACCTTCCTCTCAATGCCATTTAGCATTTCAGTTTAAAGAACTCTTCAAAACCTATACAGAATACTTGGTATTGAATGGTGTAATTAATTGAATTTGTACTGCTATAAGGATAAAAGTGGATATGAAACTTCCTGGAGAGGTTTTTCAGATTATGAACTACAGAAATACTGCTCCCCCTACTTCCACCCTCCACCCCCACCCCGTCGTACTGGGGATGGAGCCCAGGGCCTTGCATATCCATCCCTAGCCGAGCTCCGTCCTCAGTTCATGGTTTTTTGAGGCAGGGTCTCTTTTGCAGCCCAAGCCGTCCTTGAACTTAAGCTGCCTTCACCTCTCCCAGTGGTAGGATTACAGGCCTATGCCAGGCCACCTGGCTCTCTCATTTTTTAGATTGTCTCTTCTGATGGCTTTGGTTGTGGAATCCTTTTGGCAGTGTTTGTTCTGTGCCATTCTTTTAGTCATGGATCCTTTTCAAAGACCCATATGAGTGCATATGTATTTTGTACAATTTGGCATTTTCCCCTGCAGTGTTTATATTAATTTGTTCCTGGTAACAGCTAATACTGGAAAATAGGCTGATGTTGCCCGTGCCGGGAAACCTGGAACCTACCTGGTCTTTGTCTCCCAGGTGAGGTAGTCTGGCACCAGCCATGCCATGGCGTGTTTTGAGTGTCCGGGAATGCTGGGAACCTTGGAGAGCTCTCAGTTCTCTCTCCCACATTCCTGGGTGGGTCACTGGCCTCCATTCCAGTTTGTAGCTGGCCCTGCAAAAGTGACTAGAACTGTCCAGTTAGTCGGGCCCTCAGCCCTCTCCCACGTCCCCTCCATGGGTCACTCCTCTCATGGTCACCATAGCTCTGGCTTGAAAACAGATGGAGCCTGACACTCCCACGAATCATAATGCACAGCAGCCAAGGTGCAGTCGCCTTTTCCCCTGCAGCCCCAGCCAGCCAGCCCTGGGAGAGGTGGGGAAAGGGCTGGGCTCTGGGCTCAGTCTTATCGGTCAAGGCGGTGCCTCGGCACAGCTTGTACCTTCCTGTTCCAGTGTGTGGAGCTCAGGGGGTTCTGCTCTGAGCCCCGTGTCTGCCTT